AGGGATCTGCTTGGAGACCAAACAAAATTTAGAGGGGGAGTACTGTCACGGGACTAAGGGCTAGCGTTATAGACTAGAACATATGTATAGATATCTCTTGTATTTAGACTTCTCTTCTATTACTATTGCACAACACAGTTATATTCTCTTTCCTCTAGTACCTGACCCCGTGAGCCACCGTGACAGCCCCGAAGACAAAATTCGACAGACGGCTGTTCCTTCACCTTGAGAGCGATCACCCGTGGCGTAAGCTCTCACCTTGCGCTGTAAGGGGAAAATTACAGGATGGGCTAGAGTGCGCCGTAGGTACTGCCAGCTCTCTACACCTAGTCAGAACTGGCTTTGCGATTCTAACAAGAGATGAAAATACCAGGGAAAGGCTCCTAGATGCCGCACCGAACTTGTCGTATTTCGACGCCGAGCTTGATGAAGCCTGCAACCTTGTCGGCTTTCGAATCCCGAATATTCTCGCGACTTTAAAAATACTTGAAGGTATTAGTACGGTTGTTGAGGATCGGATCACATTGGAGATATATCTTCAAACCGGAGAGGTGGCAATCTATGTGCGACCGCACGGGACATGCCGTCATTGTGCGCCTTTTAGAAATTGGCATGCCCTTTTTCCCCGGGACTCCGCCCCTTGTGTGTCCTGGTCATGTGCTATTATGTAATATTAATTAGAATTAGCATCATTAGGAGTTTTCGGTTGGAAGAGGGGACAATCAACTTACATCTGACTAAACGACTTACCAGGCATTCTGTGATACTAATTACAGGCGTGCTTTGAGTCCATAGTCTATTGTAAGATAAAGACGCACACCCTCGTGCGGGCTTCCGCATTCTCGAAGAGTCTGGAGCGGCTACAAAGGTCCAGCCTCGTCGCCAAACTGAACAGTGCAAACGCTGTTTAGGCTTCCACGCCACCTGTGGTTGCTCCTGCAGTTCCAGCCTGCTGGAACTGCGGATCTAACATGCACTCGGAAGCCGAGTGCAAGGCCCTCACTAAGTGTCGTAACTGTGGGGGACCGGTGACAAAAGAGCAGCTCGCGTGGATCCGCCACATCGAAAAAGGGGAGTTTGCGAAGGTGGCATGAGCCCTAGCTGCAGTAAAAAAGGCCGAAGAGGCGATCATCGCCGCTGTGAAGGATGTCTCGATGGCAACAGGTTTCGCAACGCTGGAATCTGAAGAGGAAGTTTGAAAATTCAGCAACCTTGAAGATTGTCACAGTCTAAGCATAGGCACTTGAGCAACCTTATGGTCAGAGATAGTTTATTTTCAATCTATGGTGAACTACAGACTAAAGAGGATAATAACAGCTATTTTATACATCATTATTACCCCTACCAATGATACAGTTTCCCGTACGTGTTCACATATCATATTCTCGTATTTCATTCTCGTATCTCGCTCGTTGGCCCTCTTCTTGCTCCTCGTCTTTGAGGTTTCATGATGATCTGAGTGACACTTAGAAGCCCCTGCTTCCGAGAATAGGTTTGCGCTAAGCCTGCGTTAGACAGCGCAGGCTACAGGCAAATATCGGCTTACCAGCCGTCACAAAGATGTTCCTTTTGGGGATTTTACCAACAAAGAGCAGGATACCGGCTGTATCAAAGGTGCCTGCTAACCCATCTTTTGCTCTCAGCGGAGAAGGGGTAAATTTGTTGTTTGGAAGGTGTGACGGACGACGAAATGTGTGAGGAGCGCATTGGCTGGGTCCAATATGGAGGAATCTTCTGGTATTCGGAATTGTTTTGATTTTCGTGACTCTTCGTTTTTGTTTAATCAGCTGCACCTTTAGCAGCGATTCGCGTGGTTGAAACGAGTTTAGTCTGTAGGAAAAATTACAGGGGGCCTTGCCGGCTCCACTGGTCCTTGATCCAATGTGGATTAAAAGCGTTAGCTTGGGACCTATTGTAAGAAAAAGAGAAAGCTATCCGCCACTCTACTTTCCAATTTAAATGTAACAAACTTCCCTCCACTAGAAAATTCACTTTTTTTAACGATTAGTTTTAAATTACACCCGCAGAACAAGAAAATAGTGTTATGATTTGAGACAACGAGGTGGTCGAGGCTAGGGCATCGCGTGTGGCTCAAGGCCACAGCATACATCAAGAGTGTACTGGTTAGGCGAGCATGTATATAGTTTCATAGATGTACCCAAATTAAACGAACACAGGTTTAGTCTTATACTTTCTGTCCATATAACAACAGCATAAAAAAGTATGAGTCTATTCACTGTCAACCACTAAATATAACATCATCCACTCCTCATCACTCCGCAATGTGACTTCCGCATAGCTCATAACCACAACAAATAGAAATACATATTTCCATCTAACATTAACCCCACACCCGATCGTAAAATTTCTCTTGGAAATATCTAACGGGCTCCTTGGATTTCGTAGAAGAACTTCGTCAGCTCGAATCATTTTCCGAAGGCGAGGGCACCTTCAGGCGTGCCTGGTACTTATTTGATGCCGGGGCAAGGATGACGAGATCCACCACGAAGATGGGCACAATTTCTTTCTATACTGCATAAGAAGAAGTGATCAGGGCTTTTTTCTTTGCTACAGGAGCAAGTCATTAGGGAATCTTCGTGTTCGAAACGTCGATGATATGGGGCGAAATCTCCGTGTCCGGAGCGAGCTGCAATGAGCGCCCCAAATATCCGCCGATTTAAGCTTTTCAGTTCTGGGGTTATTCCTGAGCTAGGATCAGTTCCGAGTTCTTAATATCTAGCCGGAGCCTCTCGTTCCCAGAAGGCGTCGCTGGAGGCCTTGTAGAGTTGTGTCACCTTCCTTTTTGCCCTTGCTATGGACAGAGGGAGAGACGATGTAGGCATTAGACATGCTGACTTGGCTAGATAGTCTGCTGCTTCGTTTCCGGAGATTCCAGGATGTCCAGGGCACCATCGGACACTGACTGTTCCAGCCCTAGTGCAGGATGCGCGTTTCCTTTTAGACCAGCTGGCTGCGAGTTTCCGGAATTTTGCAATTTGACGGGAACTTATTGCGGTGGGGGGTAACAGGAGCAGCCGAAGAGCCGCTTCTTGGTTGTCTAGGCAGACAGTTACATTAGTTGCATTAAATGCCATGGGATTGCAGATGGCGGCCGCTAAACAGATTTGGCTTTATTTTCTGAATATTATTTATCGGCATTCAAGTCACGGTGTCCACGCCTGCTGATAGTCCGCAACTCCACTCGCGTACAAGGTACAATAATTCCCTATTGGTGTCTGAGCAGAGCCATACATTTGAGCTCAGAAGAGTCATGGCGACCTGTTGAAAAATCGGTGTGGGTTCGATGAGTAAGGCGGCTCAGAGAATATGAGCGCGATTCATGAATAGAATAATAATGATATGAATCGGGAGAATTTGTGATTTACTGTGGAAAAGTGAAAAATGGATTGAATTATTTTATTATCTATCTTAGGGATCTTTAGACAACTTGTACAAGTATATATCAGTATTAAAAAACTTAACCAAGTATCGAACGCAAGCCTAGCTCCATACTCTGGCAATTTTAATGAGGACAGGGTTGGTGAATCAAACTCTACCCACCGGGTATCACATCACTCCATGCCTTAGTCGAGTCTCACACATCAAACATGATCAGCGAAGTGATTGTCATTGATTCCGGTCGTGTGTCAGATGTGAGAAATATTTGTTGTTCCAATCCTAGGGAAACTTCAAAGATACAGGGTGTGAATTTCCAACACGACCCGCACAGTTAGAGCATTTGGAAGTCTCCACCTAATACTCTGAAGTCTCATGCACACCCGTGCAGCGTATATATGGCTATGCGTGTAAAGTTATGTGAGATGAAGGCAGGACCAATATTTTTGATAAGTCATCGATTTTAGAAACGTTTATTCTTACATTCTACTTTAATTCGAATGCAATTCTTCTTGGCTATTTTTAAGTAGACAGAGTATATCGGGCTAATTCATCAGTACCGCTGAATGATGAAAAATTCGTCTTTGCAGGAAATTCTAAAGATAAATATTGAATTTATTAAGAAATAATGACCCCTCAGTCATTGAGGTTTTATAGCGCTTTGATTCAAGTAAATACCGAAGTGAAACTAAGTACAGAATTTGTAGTCACGTGTGTATCGACAACCTTGCCTACTTGATAGCCCCAATTATTCTAAATTCTAACAGAATTCAATTGCTATCTGCTATGAATATCATATAAGCTTCTTTTTTTCGGAACGAAAGAATGTGGGAGTACAGTAGGTGTGGCCGAGGCCACGACGGACCCTAATATATGTTGGAAAATATTCTATGCACGATATTATATGAATGTATGATGAAGTAAAGAAGGCTCAATATTTTATGACTATGGGAACATTAGACTTATGTATGCATCTATGGGGGGAAATCCCACAAGTCTTGTGTGACTGTCAAGCTTAGTAATGACCAGCCACCTCCCATCTACCATAATGAGCCAAGGTACACTGCAGTACTTAAATATTCAAACATGTATGCAAAATTAGGTGTGATTTGTGCACTCGAAACATGCGTAAAGAGAGTCGATTTTGTCGGAAACCTCAGACGAAACAGATAACGAGCTAGTCATAAGTTCGAGAGTCAAAATTTCCAACAATGTACTAGATAGTGCTTGACTCAAGTTATGCGATAAAAATCCGACCAATCGAGGGACACAAACTTTTGATCTTGGTTGCGTCGCTGACATTAAGTATTGAAAGAAATAGTCGTGCTGGATATCAGAAAAGATCAGATCTGAACCTTTGCTTGGGACCCTCATTCAAGTCACGTGTTACAGTTTATGCTCACCCTACAGCCGCATTCGAAGATCCTAGTCTTTACCATGTTTAGAGTGAATTTTTTAAATATTTGAAAATCTACTTCGATCCTCATCGAATATTTTCATGCTGTCTAAGTTGAAGCAATGACTTTACGAACTAAACTATTACTGGAATTGCGTTTGATCCATAATTTGTACCATAGAACAAAAATTTGTGTAATAATGATTATTCAAGTGTTTATTCTTCGACATAATGCAACAACGATGCTGATATCATCTAATTTTCCTGTGCAAGGGAATTAGTGTGGTAGCCGGCGTTAATATCTATTTTCACTTACCTCCTTCCATGGCTAAGCCCTCCTCTACTGCGTTCTCCATGTAGGGGCTTTCAGCAAATGGATCGATAGCGACCCTCCACGCAGATTTCATAAGTTCCTCTGCTGCGAACTTCGCAGCACCATTTCCAGCATCAAAGTTTCCCTTGTGACTTTTCCACCTGTTCAAACTGGCGACAACGTTCTCGATAATCTCGTGGTCCCACAAATTGTCAATGACACCATCTGACATGACTAATATGACGTCATTTTCCTCAATGTCTACAATATCCATTGTGGCACTCTGTGCAGGAGTGTCTGGACTGTTGGTTCCTAGTTGTCGAGGACAATCAAACCAGTGCCATTGCTGTTTGGTTTTGTAAACTAGACTTGAGTCACGCGGCCTAAGGACCAAAACTTGCGAGTCGCCAAGGTTTGTAATGTACAACAAAGGCGTCGTTCTCTGACCCAAACATCTATCTGATAGCCGATGATACAGTTGAGCTCCCGTGGTAGTTGTTGAACCATGACATTTATTTGGGCCCGAAGTGGCTTGGATAGTCTGCTCATAAGCACGTTGTAGACATCGAATAGGATCTATCTTAAGTTGATGTTGCGGCAAACATTCTTGCTCCAAATCCTTCTCCGTTTCTTGGGCCCAAAAATGTAAGATTAACCGTGACCATAGACTGTAAAGTTTCAGGGTGACTATATGTGGATAGGCGAAGAAAACACTGACCCCGCATGCCCATGAGGTTTTGCTGACCAGGCACCGACACCATCGCTTGCGGCGATGAAATAGTCGCTAGTATATACGGCATCTTCTCCATTAGTATGCCCTCGAATAAAGTCACCGTTCAGAAAAGCATGCCTGCTACCTCCTCTGTCGAAAGTGCTAAGAGGGTCTGAAAAAGACGCAGATGGGGGCGATAGAAATGGCGGAGGGAATGGGCGGGGCACTTTCTTTGCAAAGAGAGCTATGCCTGTTACAAATCTGAATGGAATGAGTGATCTCGTCGTCATAGCAAAATGTTCTATCCACAAATACACAAGTCAGCGTTCGCAATTGACGTCTTCTCAAGTAAATTATCATTATTCGTCAGGTAATATTAAGGCTAATCTTTGAAGTTCGAGGGCTGATACCATTCTCACCTGCTGTTACTGTTCGAGGTGAGAGTTTAATCGCCTTGAATTATCTAGTGACTACGAGTCATCACTTCATATTTCGACTGATGAAGTGACTTAGGGCCGATAAGACCTCGAAATAACCCGTAATCGGTGTCGATGTTCATGAAACTGGTTAGCTTCATCTAAAAAAGGAATGAGGGACATGAGGCAACCCTAATCTATCTAATGCGCTAGGCTAGTTTACCAATTACCTTCACAGAAACTTTTTAGAGCTGACCCTAGTCCAACTATGGCCGTCGCGTTGTGCTGATGTACAAAGCACAAAAGTACCCAATTTACCCTGGCCGACCAGCATCAGCCATCCAGAACATTGGAAAGCGGCCAATTTATTTACTGATAAACAAACAGGCAGCGCCAAAATGAACTTCAAAGATACACCCTAAAAAATCCACCGTCATCTAACCAGAGCCCAAAGCAGTGTCGCCATTCAGCTAAGACGTGAGCATATCGGACTCAATTCTTACCTGTGAAGAAGAAAAGTACCCGGAGTAGAAAAGCCGAGCTGAAAATGTGGATATCCGTAGCAAAACGTCAAGCACATGTTGTTGGCGTGTCCACAATGGGCAGGTGGAAGAGGCAACTTTCTTCGACAAGCTAAAGACAGGTCATTTGAAGCAATGATGAACAGCCTAGAAGATATGGCTAGAATTACACAGTGGATACTAAACAAATGGTGGATAAAACAGTTTCGACTTGCAGGGGAAGTCGAGGTAGCAATGTCGGATAAAGTAAATAGATCTGGAAGGGGAGAGGACGGAATCCACACGGGCTGAACAGTGTACACTGCACTTCCTGAAGGTAAACTAAAAAAATTGATAGGAACATAAACAGACAGGATCAGGGGGCTTTCACCAAATTGGTTTCCTCCTTTGTAAATATTGAAGATAGTCACCTGCATAGACCCATAGGGTGCCTGATCGGGTTTAATGAGATCAAAATCAAAATTCAAAGTACCCATATTATTAATTATTAATTTAATTTATTGTCCTGTCTGAGTCTATGACTATGTAGGACATGCAGGTTCTCTCTGCCAACAGGCCAAGGATACCTATGCCAGTAGTATATCCCCTCCTATGCCTTCCATACAGCTCCCCTCAAACAGTACTGGCCCTCACAAGTAGTCACAGATTGGCGGGTTTCTACTTAACGAAGAGGCCATACGTGATCCAGTCGACAGGATCAATTGCATTACCCTAGTAAGTTTCAAATAACCATCAGAGAATCCTGGGTTGATAAGCTTGTACAGTGGATAAAATAATATCACGTGATGACGTATACAAACATATCAAACTACATAATCCACTCAATGAAGTCTTAGGAAACTTAACAACCAAACCCTTCATCAATTCGAGAAATTCGAAAATTAATTTTTTCCTTCTCTCCTCCCTTCTCGACCTCGTCGCATCCATCTCTGAATTGTGATCGAGCTCAGGTATTTTCACCATGCCTCCAGTACGTTAAAAGCGTCTCAACGCCAAGTTAGACAACACGAGAGTCCGCCTGAGGGCTCTCGAACAACTACCTGGCCTTGCCCAGTCTCCAAAATGCGCGGAGATGAGCAAGGTCTCAATCAAAGGGAAGGAAAAAGCCCTCCCCGCCGTCACTGAACCCGATACTGACATGATCGGGTCAGTCGAAATTATTGAGGAAATCCCTCAGCGACCCTCCGTCCCCCACGGGATTGAAGAATCGTCCAAACCTCCTCTGACAACCTCAAAACCGCCAGAAAACGCTGCACCCATAGCAGCGTCAATATCAACGTTGCAGCCAAAAGCTGCCACGAAAGCAGAGTGTCCCCTCGAGCTCCGACCAATAGTCGAAGCTGAACAACGACGCGCCGCCGAAACAGCGGCAAATCTGGCCCTCTGCTCCGCCGCCATCTCTGGCGTCGAAGCCACCCTTCTCCCTTTGACCAACGGGTCAAATAGACAATTCGTAGACTCGATGAGAGTCTACCTACGCGCCGCCATTGCGCAATACATGGCCACGGGCCCGGCCATGACGCCACCCATCCTCCCTCTTCGCCCGGCAAACCCTCCCCCAAGAGCTCCCGACGCCAGGAACCAAACAATACCCACCGTCCCAGCTCTGCCCGTCAAAAGCACCTGGGCCACGGTGGCCAGAAATGGACTGCAACAAAAAGCAGTCTCTACTGTAAAGGCCGTGCCGCGATCTGCGGCCAAAGCCCCAAAGAAAGAAGCTCCCAAGGCGAAAGTCGACAAACGACTATTCCTTCGCCTAGAAAAGGAGCACCCGTGGCGCCAGCTTTCGCCTGCTGGCCTATGGCAACAACTACAGAGTGAGCTAGTTTGCTTCTTGAGTGACGCCTGCTCTATACACCGTGTCATAATCGCAAAGCCGGTTCTGACAGGGAAAGAAAAGAAAAGGGAAGAGCTCCTAGACGCCGCACCAAAGTTTTCGGACCACAATGCCAAGTTCGAGGAAGCCTCCTACCTTGTCGTCTTTCGGATCGCGAATGTTCCGGCGACCGTAAAAAACAATCAACTATATTCATACGGTAGATGCTGAGTGGATCTCATTGGAGATCTACCGAAAAACACATAAGCTTCCACACCAGGTGCTACCGCACGGGATATGCCGTCCTGGAGCGCCGTACAGAAATTGGAAAGCCCTTTTCACTGGGCTTCCGCCTCTTCGACGATTCTGGTATGGCTACCATTCACAAGCCTCGTCCACAAATTAAACAGTGCAATCGCTTTTTGGGCTTCCACGCCACCCGTGGTTGCTCCCGCGCTCCAGCCTGCTGGAACTGCGGATCTAACATGCACTTGGAAGCCGAGTGCAAGGCCCTCACTAAGTGTCGTAACTGTAGGGGACCTCACCGATCGGATTCTCGGGCCTGCCAAGTCAGACCCATAAAGTCCGGGCCGGTGACCAAAGAGCAGCTCGCGTGGATTCGTCACCTCATGCAGGGGAAGTACGCAGAGGTGGCACAAGTACAAGCAGCAGCAAAAAAGGCCGAAGATGCGATCATGGCCGCTGCGAAGGACGTCTCGATGGCCGAGGCTACAGATTTCAGAGCACTGGGATCTGAAGAAGAAGCTTGAGGGAACAGCGACCTCGACGATGCCCCCTTTTGGGGCATCTCCTAACTATTAGTAGGATACTGGCTGGATAAAAGGTGCCTGCTAACCCATCTTTTGCTCTCAGCGGAGAATGGGCAAATTTGTCATCTGGAAGGTGTGACGGAAGAGGGAATGTGTGAGGAGCGCATTGGCTGGGTCCAATATGGATGAATCTTCTGGTATTTGGAGCTGTTTTGATTTTCTTGATTTTTCGTTTCTGTTTAATCAGCTGCACTTTTGGTAGCGATTCACGAGGTTGGAACGAGTTAGGCTGTAGGAAAAGTTACAAGGAACCCTGCCGGATCCGCCAGTCCTTGACCCAATGTGGATAAAGAGCTTTAGCTTAAGACCCATTCGTAAAAAAATAAAAAAAAAATAAATAACTGCCATTAACCATCACCTGACTTATCTCTACACTCCATAATTTCAACATAATTCAGTCTTAGATTACAAGATTCCTCAGCACACGTCCTTTCCTTAAGCTAAGGTATATCTTGTGACTCAATATTCCTAATTTTCATCGTCCTAAGACGTCAAGATGCCCTCCGGGAGGCGTAAAATTCCCACGACACTCGTGTCCCCTGCTCGAGTTGTCTCGCGCTCAGTCGACTTGCGAGGCCTCGCCCTCAGCCCCCAACTGTTCAGGAGGAAGTTATCCTAGCAGCCGAAGCTGAGAAGTAATAATCTCCAGCTGAACCCATCTACATGGACTCAGAAGACGAGTTCATGGACCCCGGATTGGAAAACGAATGTCCTTCCAACTCTTGCTTTGAAAACCTTTCCCTCTCTCCAACTCCAGCTCCCGTATCGGTAACAGCTACCCAATTGCATCCGCCAAAAAAACCTCTGCAAAGAGATTCTACTCAGGGTATCTCCGGCTCCATTCACGCATCCACCAAAGACAACGTTGCAATTGAGCTATAACCTACCTCAACTCTCCCGCAATCTAGCGCGCGTACAACAGCGCGGATTATTGAACACCCCTCGGTAGCTATGACAAATAACATAGCCGCTTCATTGTTGGCCTGGCAAAATGCTCGAGCCCAACATCTATGTGGTCTACCGCCAACAATCGCTGCAGACTTCAAAGCTATCGTGACGCGAAGTGCAGCACGAGTCATTGCAGGCCTTCCTGTCTTCGAGCAGTCTCAAACTACTTGTCAGACCAGTATCAGAACCTGGTGGAATTCGTATTCCTGAATTAATGTTTCGTGATTCATGTAAATTCCATTCTTCTAACATGATCGTAACATTATTGTCAGAATAATATGCCAAGCTGGTACCTGACATAATTTGTGATTGCCTCAGGAAAACCTTGGCGTCCGTGTAACAGACGTGGTGGACTGGTATTGAGTCGGTTTAGGATTACATCTTGGCTACAACATGTTTGGATTGTATCCTGTGATGTAAGTAAGCTATTTCTAGATATTATCATCTTATGTCAGGTAGTAGATATGTGTAGATATATAAGCTAAGAGAAAGAGGAAGGAAGACAGACAGACAGACAATTATATCTTTTTATTTTACTTCAATTGAAAGCTCCTGTGCGAGCTATTCTTCCAGATACCTCTAGTCTCAATCATTACAGCTTCCGAACCAGCTCAAAAGGTTCGACACTACTGCAAACGTAAAAGTTAGCGCACAGCTAGCCCCACAAATAGAACCACCCGCAAGTTCTACTTACGCGAATGCTGCGAAGAAGAACTTGACCGTACCTTTACTCCCTCCAAAGGCTACGCCCAGGGTTAA